AAGCTACCATTTTGTAACAATTCCACCAAATTCGACTACAAATGTATATAAATATAATAATAATATTTCAGGCACATTAACTGTTAACTGAAAACTTGCTACCAAAAGTTGCTCACAATTTTTTCAGAATAATCCTGTATTTGCATCAACATAAGCACGACTTAACAACTTTCCAACTGCTATTTCTGTCTATCTGCCTCGCTTCTGCCATCCACGATTTGACCGCTATGGTGTCGTCTATGTGCTTCTCTTTACTCAAGACTCAAAATCTACACCTGCACACATTCATCATGCAATCATCACCACACACAACAGGCTTAAAGTTAAACATACGACACTTCTCGACGATTCAAACCAGTAGTCCCACCCTGTCTCTCCATTCTCCACTCAGATGACATATATACGTAACATTCTAATCTTCACCGTAAATTCAAATCCCAAACACAAGAGACCTGCTGTATTTCAACTCACCAGCGACTCTCCCTTCACACCCAGATAAGAAATATTCTGGGACAGCTGTTCAGATGCACTAAGCTCAAAATTTTGAAAATAATATAAAAAAATTTTGCAGTTTCATAATCTGTGGTGACCGTTTGCAAGTGCTCAAGAACAAATTCGTCAAAATTCACATTCGAAATGTTGAAAAACACAAGGAAAGATAAAGAAGGTACAACTGTGAAAAGAATGAACCAGAAACAGTTTCCTCTCTCTCCTGAAAAAAAAAAAGTTGCTTTCTGGGCTCACAATATTTTTACAGCTAGCCAACGATGTCAAAATTCTAATCTTCACCACAAATTCAAAATCCCCAACAAAACAGGCACACAGTATTTCCACACAACAATAGTAACTCTCCCTTCACACTCACTACAGAAATATGTGGCACGACACGCTGGAATCAGGCGCTCGTCAATTTATGGGCATCTGGGGTTATTGGTATCATCTTAAAGCTTGTTCATTTATCTTGCTTTTGATGAAAAGAAATACCCATCGATCTTGAGGAGAAGTGAAGATATTTGTGACTGAAAGAGGTACGTTCACTGGGTTTCAGCGGTAAAGATAGAGAGAAAATGGCCGCCAAAGTTTGGTAACTTCAAAGCTAAAGAGTCCTTGAAAACTGAAAAATTTCATACTTAGATCTTTTAATCAATGTTTTTCAATGTAAGTCACATGGAAATGTGTTCTTATATGGACATAAAAGGGTTGAACAAAAAACAAAAAATTTGATTCAATTTGCAAAACTGTTGGAAAAAGGCCTGTTTCTCCATTTTTGTTATTTTGACGAGCGCCTGATTTTACCACGCTGCCTCACGTATATATTCAATGCTCTAATCTCCACCATAAAACAAAAATCCCAAACAAAACAAGCAAGCTGCATTTCCACACACAACAGCACCCACTCCCTCTTCACACTCGGCAGCATGCAAAAAATGTCCACAACACAAATCTGCCTGCTCCTGCGGGCTCGTTTACAGATCAGTTCAGACGCAATACAGTAAGATAAAAGGTTTTGAGATCTTCATAATACACATTTTAGCAAACATCAATAGAATCATGTGATGACAAACACAGAGGAGCCACATCAAACATTTAACAACAGAACAGAACTCAGTAACAACCAAGGAGAGACCACTTGCTTAGGTGTGGGGGAGGAGATAGAAAGTCTATAAGACACTGATACAGAAAGTGGAACATATATATATATATATATATATATATATATATATATATAAATATATAAATACAAATCACAAGTGCATCAGTTGTCTCCCACAAAGGAAAAAAAAAACCCGATACAAGCAGAAATACTAGCTGTAAATATTTAACAACAACATCCAACTTTCAAAGAAAACAATTCATCACCACAGAATGAGCGGGAAGAAAAATGTCCTCAAAATTACAGACATTAAAGAAAAGAAAAACAATCAAACACATTTCTACATTTCTTACAGAAAATAAAACCAGTGCTGTGTTACACAAAGATTGGCACCCACATTATACCTCCATCAAATTGGAAGCCTACAAAATTACTTTCCAATAAAACCATGAGAAAATATATAATTTTTTGTTAACTTCCACATATGAAAAAAAAAAAGAAAGAAAAAGAGATACACTAAGTGATCATGGTGCTTGACATAAAAATGTCACTGTCATCATAGAAAGATTTTGTAGATATATAAAAAGAAAAAAAATGTCCTTTTTGTGTTAGAAAGAGTTAAAAAGATAAAGTGCACACTTCCCGTGATGTTGACCACTGAACTAGACAGCTACGGGTAGAGAAAGCATGTACCTGGACAAACATCACACCAACCTGACTCCAGCGGATTTTCCCCATCTACTTCACCACGGACTACAATGAATCCTCTCCGCTCCACTTTGGAGTGGAACACAATCCCGCGACAAAACAATTAGGAAGGTTAAGTCTGATGTTTCTCACGAAAACAGACCCCCAGCAACCATTCAGTGATTAGAAAAAGCAATGGGTTTACAAGGGGTATCAAAACACCAATTAGAACCGGACATGGCATCCCATAATTATAATTAAACCTTGCAAAATAAATGCACAAAATTGAGGCATGGTTTGCTAGATATCATTGAATAGTCTCTCCAAAATAAAATAAATAACGTTCGAAGAAATGCTTTACAACACTCAAAAGGGTCGGATAAAATGATTGCCATGCAAATAAAAAAACACCCAACGATGAGAAAGAAAAGAGAAGAGTCAGTATGTATATGTAAAATACACTTTTTGCCACAAATCTGGCATTATATCTGGTTGCAGAACAAAGAGAGCACCGTACAACTGTGCCTCATTGGTCTGAAGTCACGCTTTTCTTTGAGTCACTTTGAGCAGCATTTATCTATCTTCTCCTGCAGGAGCCAGGTCTAGAGCAGACTTTAATAATCACGGTACCCCACTCACTCCCTTCCTGCCGTCTGGCTTCCCGATCAACTCGGTTCTTTTCATTGTACTATTTCAAGTTGTTCAGGCCATCTGTGTATGTCGATGTAATCTCTGTCTCCCTCTGTTCTTCTTTCCCTGTATCATTCCACACAGCAGCAGTTTATCAAATCCATATAATTCTATTTATGTGGCTAAGAATCTCAACCATCTCTTTTTGGTGGTTCTATAGATCTTTCATAACGATCATCTGTCGGAGTCACAATCATCTGTCGGAGTCACAATCATCTGTCAAGGTCACAATCATCTGTCGGAGTCACAATCATCTGTCGGAGTCACAATCATCTGTCGGGGTCACAATCATCTGTCGGGGTCACAATCATCTGTCGGGGTCACAATCATCTGTCGGAGTCACAATCATCTGTCGGAGTCACAATCATCTGTCGGGGTCACAATCATCTGTGAGGCCAGTCATTTAACAACACTTCCACAAACACAAAAAAATCAAAACCAGTAAAACGGAGAAGACACGAATCACGTGTCAAATTACACTCTACAAAAAAATATAAGCCTGCATCTGTAAAATTGCCACCTGCATTTGACAGCATCAAAATTAAGAAATGAAATAAATTGCATAAAACACAGGGTAAAATCAAAAGACAAAAGCAACCACATGAAGGTTTTAAAATGCAAACTGGCATAAATTTATGGCATAAACTTAAACATAGCAAGTTATTTGAAGCATACATTCAACATTCCCGTACAAAACCCCCCCAAATATATTAAATCAACTTATTGCTCACTATAACAATATAGTGGAATGAAAATGCACAAATGATAGAAACCCGAGAAAAAAAACAACAAAACAAAACATAGAATTCATCCACGTACAAGCAAATTTTACAGCAAGAATGGGGGTGGGTGGGTGGGTGAGCTTCAAGAAACTATTTTTAAGCCGGGTATCTCTTTAAGAAGAGACACTTTTTTAAAAGGGATAATTTCATATCTATACTAGAAGGGGGAAAATATGAGCAATAAAGACAAAATTGAGAGCAAATAAAAGTGTGATGTATCATGATAATAATAATAGATAGCATTTGAATAGCGCAAATCCCCGCTCAACAGCAAGCTTTATGCGCTTCATAATCTATACTGTTATCCCAGCAGACCTGAGAGCATTCTGAAACAAACTCAACTTCCTGGGAAGCATACAGTGCAAGCAGCCATTTACAGGTGCTAAAACACTAACATACTGACAAAATCTTTCGCTGTCTATAGCCGGGTACCCATTCCCACCTCGGTGAAGTGGGGAAAATTTGTGTAAAGTGCCTTTCCCAACGACACAACCGCAGGCCCGCGGCTCGAACTCCCGACCCCGCAACCTCACGATTACGAGTCCGGTAGCCTAACCACTGGGCCACCGATGCCATTTGGTTTATGTAATTGTAATGAAATCACAGTGCTGGGAGGCCACAGGTTTACCGCAAATTATTAAAAACACGTACCAAGGAGCTGTCAATATTGTAACAAAAAGTCACAACCAATCATTTGAGAGAGAGAGAGAGAGAGAGAGAGAGAGAGAGAGAGAGAGAGAGAGAGGGAGAGAGAGAGGGAGAGCGAGAGAGAGAGCAAGAGAGAGAGAGAGAGCGAGAGAGAGACAGAGAGCAAGGCAGAGAGAGAGAGAGAGAGAAAGAGAGAGAGACAGAGAGAGAGAATGAAATAGAGAGAGAGAGAGACAGAGAGACACAGACTTCGAATAAATAACCGGCTTTTCTATCCTCTGTCTTGATGAACCATACAAAACAACCAGTCATCCTATCTTAAGCATAACCACACAACTATATCAAAATTACAATTCTTACCATTTCCAGTCACAAAACAGAATAAGAAAGAAAGAAAAGGAAAAAAACAAAACCCCAATGTCGAAAAACCTAATGATTTACCAAACCCTCAAACCTTAATAAGACTATCTCCACTGATGTTTCTTTCCCCTTAACTCTTTCCCTGCCAATATATGGTGTATCATTGACGTTCTGCGACACACCTCTGCCAATGTCGATCCACAACCTAACGTCCATATGGTACTCAATCCTTCACTTCCTTTCTTGTCCATGTTTTTAGTAATTTTTCAAAAACAACTAATAACGATAATTCTTGTTGAAAACATGTTACTACTCGGTTCTATTGACTTCATCTTACATGGAAAGAGTTAAGAAGTCAGGTAATATGTTTTTAAAATTCAGCTTCAAATTTTTTTTTTAATAGGGAAAAGACACCCCCACCCCCCTTCAAAACATAAAGAAAAGAGCACCAGAAAAACCCCAAAAAAAGAAGCAACACACTCGAAAACAGGCCAGGAAACAGCATCCATGCAATCAACGGAAAAATGCACAAACCCACACACTACTAGCACTAGTAGAACAAGAATAAAAATACACACAATCATTTAAATCTGAGATAAAAACCAAAAAAATCTCTACAAACACGTGGAAGCAATGCTCATATATTCTGCGTAGATTTTCTCGAGTATCACAGCACATTTCCCGTCACCTCCCTACTCGGTGCAGCGGGAGCTCTCCGGTGATCTGTTGCCCGCCCACCCGCCTCACTCCGCGGGTCGCACATAGGGTGGGGCACAAGCCAGTTAGTACAGTGTTACATTAGTTCCTACCTAGCAGCTGCTCTAGAAAAGCCTCATATCATTGGGACTTGCGAGAGGACATCTTTCGCTGTCTGCTCCTGCAGAGAGATGAGGAAAAGTAATAAAATAATTTAAAATTAATAAATTACACTTTTATTTGTCCCAGAAGGGCACTTTTGTTAGTTTTAGTAGAGGTTTTACGGCACTCGCAACTGCATAAGGTCATATGAGTGCCAGAAGATTAGAGGTGTTACAAGAGAGTAACAAACATAAAAAAGAAGGAGGGGAGATAAGGACGATAGATGTTTGATAGGAAAGAAGGAGCAAACCACACCAGAGCACCCACCAACCACCCACGAAGGGCACATTGGTTTACAATGGCAAACATACATAATTATAAATACGTACATACATAATACATGCACAAATACATACATAAATACATAATTATAAATAGGCCTACGTACATACATAAATACATGCACAAATACATACATGAATACACAATATTACACAAATACAGAACAGTTTACAACCATGCCATTGTCGGTCGCCACTGCGCACGTAGGTGAATGGGTTAAACACCCTGATCAACACCATTCGCTTTAACAGGGAGATGAGAAAAGCCACAAAACAGTCAGATCTTCCTGTTTTGGTACAGCACAACTCGCAACTTTACCCTCCTCGTGTTAACTAGCCAATGAATTAAATTGGCCACAAGTCTCATTTTGTGGTGCCATGGCCAATTTAATTGGCCGTACTTTGAGTCCCTTTTTCAGGTTCATTTATCCTCAATTTTGCTTTTTCACAATTGAAAATCACCCCAAAAAATGACCACTTTCCACATCGTCTCTTAACATATTTTTTTCCATAGTAATACCATTGCGCAAGACGTCCACCTTTCTCAAGACAACCGCTCTTCTTCTCAACAGTGGGTTGCCATCTTTCTCAACAGTGGGTTGCCATCTGGACAAATTCAAAGGTACTACCACCATAATCAAAAAGTAACCTACCACTGTGGCACCTACGTTTATTTATTTTATTTAGTAGAGGTTCTAAGGCGCTCGCAACTGCATAAGGTCATATGAGCGTCAAGGGGTGGATGTCAACAGAGAAGTCTTTACAGGGAATCGGACTTACTCTGCTCACCTCTCTAGCTTCAACAGCACAAAGTCTGCTTCGACTTTCAAGGCACCACGGAAATAGCGGGTCACAAGAGAGTGACAAACATATAAAAGAGGTAGAGGAAAATGACGATAGTAAGGATTAGGAAAGAAAAAGCAGCAGTTCCCCCTATGTTGTTCCGGCACAGTATGAGCATGACATTGATGAATCAGCTCATTTACAATTCTACTGTGCATAAGAACGAGAAATGTCCCCCCCCCTTTGGGAATGGCCTAAAGACACTTCAGTCAGTGCACTGCCACAGGGTGGGGGGGGGGGGGGGGTCGCGCCTGCGTTGAATGCAGGTTTCCACAACTGCAACAAAGATGAGGGAACATACCTGGCCTCTGACCTGGAGCAGGTGTACTCGAACCACAAAACATGCGGGATCAACGTGGAGTCTCTCAGCATGAACAGTTCCCCCACAGGGCTAAGGAGACAACAAGGAACGTTGACTTGGTGAAAAAAAAAAACCACAAAAAAAAAATAAAATGCTACCCAAAAAGTGATCATTGTGCTGGACATAAAAATCACCATTAAAAAAAAAGAATGACGATACCCAAAAAGTGATCATTGTACTCAACATTTTTAAAAAATGATGATACCCAAAAGGTGATCACTGTGCTCGACATAAAAATGTTTGAGGTAATCAAACTAAGATTTTAAGTAGGTAATAAGAAAAAACAAAAATGTCCTTTTTGTGTTAGAAGGAAGAGAGAGACAAAGTATACACTACCCCCTGATGTTGGCTATTGAGCTTGATAGTTACAGGTAAGGGGAAGGGTCTCAAACACAACACCAACTCCACTCCTCAGGATAGGTAGAGAGTATGTAAGCATTGGTGAGGGAGGGTGTGTGTGTGTGTGTGTGTGTGTGTGTGTGTGTGTGTGTGCGTGTGTGTGTGTGTGTGTGTGTGTGTGTGCCTGTGGTGTGTGTGTGTGTGAGTGTGTGCCTGTGGTGTGTGTGTGTGTGAGAGTGCGTATGTGGTGTGTGTGTGCACGTGTGTGTGTGTGTGTGTGTGTGTGTGTGTGTGTGTGTGTGTGTGTGTGTGCGTGTGTGTGAGTGTGAGTGAGTGTGTGTATGTGTGTGTGTGCGCGCGCGTGTGCGTATGTGTGCGCGCGCATGTGTGTGTGTGTGTGTGTGTGCGCGCATGTGTGCGTATGTGTGTGCGCGCGCGCGCGCGCGCGTGCGCGCGTGCGTGCGTGCGTGCGTGCGTGCGTGCGTGTGTGTGTGTGGTGGTGGTGTTTAGGAGTTCAGCCTGCAGGGAGTAGTTTTCTCCTCTCCATGTTAAAAGGCTTGATTTTCCTCCAATAATGTGCCTGATGACATCATAGAAATCACATTCAAAACTCATCGTCATCATCCAGAGCCAGATCTGCGACAGACATCGGCATTCCTTTGCTCGGATGCTCCCAAAAAAGCTACGTTTCCCTGATCTTTCCCTGTTACCCATTTGTTTAGGTTCCCTAAGTATGTCGTTCTGGGCCTACCCCTGCCTCGCTTGCCCTCAGTTTTGCCAGTGAGAGCTAGATGTTCAAGACCCTTATGTCTATTCAGGAGTCCCAAAAACTGCATTTGTCGTTTCCTGATTGAAGTGATTGTTTTTAATATTCAGAACTACTATTCCTTATTTCAAAAACCGGACGTTGAATGACATCATAGCCCTACCAGAGTTTTACACACTTTGTTTGATGTAACAAACTGGCAACTCATCTACGTGTGATCTCAAAAAGCACTGTCCCATCACTAGCAGCAGCTGGTAGAACCTGACGCATAACATTATGATGTACAGTCACCCCTGTTTGAACCGCCACCTGTCCAAGACAATCACCAGGGTTCCTGACATGAACTTCCCACCAAATTCAAGGAGACTTCTAGTAGGTTTCAAGGAGAAATTTTTTTAAATTCAAGGAGATTTGGTTAAGAAATTCAGGCTGAACGCTTATTTCCGATAGGCCTACACTTGTCTGAAAGGGAATCGTAGTTTCGACTTTCCGACAAAAACTTTGTTCATGTCCGATCTGGTAAAATTCAAGGAGTAGGAGTTTTCAAGGAGGTTCTTCAAATTCAAGGAGTTTTCAAGGAGATTTTTCCTTGAACGCAAATTCAAGCAATTTTCAAGAAGTCCTTGAATTCAAGAAGGCTGCAAGAACCCTGAATCACCTGTACCAACGACCACTTCCCACCTCGTGCATTATTTTTATACCATAATGACACTGTCCAACAGGTACACCTGCCTAAGACAACCATTTTTCCACTCCACTTTGGGTGGCCATCTTGGGCGATTTCCCCTGTCTAAGCAAACATACCCTGGAGCTTCATTTTTACTCCTAGCATAAACTAAGCAAAAGCTGCACCGTTCAGCAACTTTGAACAATCTCGGTACAAAGCATTTGGCGTACAAATTGTTTTTCTCCTGCACTTTTTCAGGACAGTTCACAAACCATTGTCTAAACCTTTGTGCCTATAGTCCGATAAAAATAATAATACGAGATGGCATAAAATAGAACATTATTACTCTTTTTTAAAAGTATCAATAGAGGGTTTACCGCGCTCGCAACTGCATAAGGTCATAAGAGCGTCAGAGGATTAGAGGTGTTACAAGAGAGTAACAAACATAAAAAAGAAGAAAGGGAGATAAGAACGATAGATGTTTGATAGGAAGAACATTATTACTCTGAGAAAGCCCATTGTTCTAACAATAACTGTTACATAAAGGTGACAAAGGGTACCGACACAATGCCAAAGGCAATAGCTAACATTCCCCCCCCCCCTTTCTTTACATATATAGGCGTTTTTACACCACCAGCAACACAATTTCTATTATTTAGGAGGTGAGCTTCACCCTGCTTGTCAGAGCTGTCCTGAGCTGAAAGGGACACAACAACCCAGCAGAAAGACCGAGCTACCCAATAAAAATACTCCCCCACCCGGGAATCAAACGACGAGGGTCTTCCACGTGCGATGGCAAAACTCCTAACCATTACACCACAGATGCTGGTGCACTCCCTTCCCCTCCTCCACCCTTCCCCCCCCCCTTTTTTTTGGTCCTGTGTCCTAATCTTGGTGCCAGTATTTGTTGGTTACGTAAGAATGTACAGACATGGTGCAAATTGTTATGTTTCCTAGAGAAACGAAACAAGGTAAAGAGGAATTTTGTTAAGTCGGTAATGATGCTGATGATGATGATGCCGACGATGATGATGACTTTTTTTGTTGTTTGTTTCCTTAATGGGCCTGGTGGACTCCACGAAGAAATCTTCGAGCCAGAGCGAGGCTCTCTTTTTCGGTTCCATTATCAACATGCTTAACGGCACCTCCACTCGTCCAAATAACTCCATTCGAATTGCCATTGTTCCTGGACATTCAAACATATGTTTGACATCCTCCTTTTCATGGCTGCATCTGATGATGATGATGATGATAATGATGATGATGCTGATGATGACGGTACCCTCCCCCCCCCCCCTTACTTCCTCCTCGTGTGTTTTACCTGTTAGCAATCAATGGGAACAACGGGGTCAGCAGAAGCTGCACAAGAGCGAACCACAGACCGGCCATGACGGAGCCCAGCGCCCCACCCAGGACTACTTGGCTCACTGTGTGATACTTCAGGTACACCCTGCAACAACAGAGAAAGGACATTCATAAACTTTGGGACAACATTTGTAAACTTCAGGTACACCCTCCAACAACACAAAGGACAACCTTTATAAAATTCAGGTACACCTCGCAACAACAGAGAAAGGACAATGTTTATAAACTTTAGGACAACGTTTATAAACTTTAGGATAACGTTTATAAACTTTAGGTACACCCTGCAACAATATAAAGGACAACCTTTATAAAATTCAGGTACATTTTAGTTTTCATAAGAGTTTTACGGCACTTGCAACACAATAAGGTCATATAAGTGCCTAAGAATAGATTATGTGTTACAAGAGAGTAACATACACACAAAAAAGAAGAAGGGGAGATAAGGATGGCAGATGTTTGATAGAGGAAAGAAGGAGCAAACCACACCCAAGCACCCGCCAGACACCCACAGAGAAGGTCCATGACACTAACAAATTACAAAGAAGACAAACACATGCACAAAAACTAACAAAAAATTTTTAAGTCAAATTTTAAAACCTGAAGTAAATTACCTGCTCCATCCAACAATGAAAGCACAGATGACGCCCCCGGCACCACAGGCATACTTCCACAGGTCATCAATTATATTGGAGTTCTTGTATAACCTGGAAAACAACACCATACAACATCTGCAATATCACTCACTACCCTCTCCAATTCCATGGGTTTTACATCACATTTTGTGTTTTTTAGTAGATGGTTTTACGGCGCTTGCAGAGAAGTCTTTACAGGGAATCAGACTTACTCTGCTCACCTCACCTCTCTAGCTTCAACAGCACAAAGTCTGCTTCTACTATTAAGGCACCCCGGAAATAGCGGGTCACAAGAGTGTGACAAACATAAAAAAGAAGTAAAGGAAAATGACAATAGTAAGGATAAGGAAAGAAAAAGCAGCAGTTCCCTGTTGTAGATCAGGCACAGCTATGAGCGTGACATTGATGAATCAGCCCATTTACAATTCTACTGTGCTTGAACGAGAAATGTCCCCCCTTTGGGAATGGCCTAAGGACACTACAGTCAGTGGCACTGCCCCGGGGGATTGCAATATAACTACTCTCTTCCATTCCATGGGTACAACATCACATTTTGGGAATTATCAGAAAGTGGCAGGTTGGATCTTTGTGCTCATGAGTCTCTAAATCAGTTTATAGTTTTAATAGAGGTTTTACGGCGCTCGCAATGGCATAAGGTTATATGAGCGCCAGAAGATTAGAGGTGTAACAAGTGTAACAAGAGATTAACAAACATGAAAAAGAAGAAGGGGAGATAGTTAGTTTAGCAAAGAGTTTTACGGCACTTGCAACACAATAAGGTCATATAAGTGCCGAAGATTAGAGGTGTTACAAGAGAGTAACAACAAACGTAAAAAAGGAGGAGAGATAAGGACGATAGATGTTTAAGAGGAAAGAAGGAGCAAACCACACCAAAGCACCCGCCAACCACCCATAAGGGGAGATAAGGACGATAGATGCTTGATAGGAAAGAAGAAGCAAACCACAACAGAGCACCCATTAACCACCCACTCTCTAAATCAGGAAAGACATCACAACAGAAAAGAGTGAAAGAAAATGAGTGTAACTATTATTTTTTAAGTAATGTGTTTACGCCCAGACCATTTAGGAGGCCGGCTTCGACCTTGTCTGTCAGGGCCAGCCCAGGCTGGTAGGGATACAACATCTTAGCAGAAAGACAGAGATAACAGATAAAAATCCACCCCAGGTGTCCTGCGTGTGACAGCAAAAGCACCTGACCACTACACCTCAGACGCCAGTTATGTGCAACCTGCAGCATAATCAAACACGTCATGGGAAAGGACAAAACCAGGGAAGAACGAGGGGCCAAATTATGAAATTAGCCTTCCTCATATCAAACATTTGGGACAGTAAATTATAATTAATAATAATAACAACTGCATTTACACAGCGCATGCGTTGCTTTAATGGAAATGAGGCTTTACAGTGCTCTAAAAGAGGCAAACTTTTCTCTGCCCGAATTAAGCCTCATTGGCCACACCAGAAGCCACGGTTTATCTTAACCGTTATTTCTTCTACTTCCATTTGTTCTTAAATATTCTCCTCTCCAGATGCACTGGTCATCGTCAGACATTTGACAGCTGAACTATCATTATTATTATTACAATAGGGAGAAAAGAAAATGTTTAACTAAAGAGTGAACTACATACCTGATCAAAAGAAACAATGTGAAGTATGTTGCAAAGAACCACATGAACTGAGAGTGACTGGATGGCATCCCGTACTCTGTGTACAAGTTTTGACGACCTGTCACAGAAATTGATTAGTTTTAGTTCCAGTAAGAGTTTTACAGTACTTGCAACACAAAAAAGTCACCTAGTGCTGAAGATTAAGGGTTACTATTAGTTACTAAAGAAAAAATATAAAGGAAAGAAGGAGAGATAAGGACTGATAGGAAAGAAGGAGCAAACCACACCAGAGCACCAGTCAACCAACCACTAAAAGTAAATATCCATTAATATACTACCTGAGTAGAGACAACTGCAGCAAAGGTTAGGGAAGAGTTCACAGTTCAATGTGATCCTGCCTTAAGCAAACTTGTAGGCCCTACCCATTCAACGTGTGGTGTAAGTATAGGTGGAGCTCATATGCGAGTGCAATGTTCAGGGAAAACAAACACGTCGGTCAGTTCACACCTTGTACCGCAGACAAATTGTACCTTTTCATCGAGTTTTATAGCGCACATGCGATCATATTCATGAGGGTGGATGATCTTTGACACGACGGGCAGTTCAACGATCTCAACTTTTCATTCTTGGTTGATCAGCTGGGCCTGCCTGGGGTATTTTTTCCGTAAATTATGATTTGAAAAACGGGATCTTAGCCAACTGCAGACTTCAAAGCGAATCAGAGCAGGATCATAGGGGTGACTTTTGTATAGTAAAAATTCTGTTTCCTTAAAACAGCTGGATCTTAAGCGAACTGGGATCGTAAGAGGTGGGATTTTTAGGCCGACACTACTGTACTTTTAAAGCAATTTTTATACAGCATAATAGACGCAACATGGAATTTTTGTAAAAACCTAATTGTACAAAATTTTTTGACAAACTATTCACCAGCATGCAAAAATGCTTTTTGGACAATCAGTATTATTATCAACAATAAAATGAAAGCAAATATTCATTAAAAGACTATGATTTGTTTTTAGTACGGTTTTACGGCCCTCGCAATTGCATTAGACCATATGAGCGCCAAGGGGTGGGTGTCAACAGAGAAGTCCTCACAGGGAATCAGACTTACTCTTCTCACCTTTCTAGCTTCAACAGCACAAAGTCTGCTTCGACTATCATGGCACCCTGGAAATAGCGGGTCACAAACGCAACTATAAAATCTTTTAAACACTTAAATGACACACAGACACATTTGTTTAAAATGACCTCATGGATGTATAAAAAAAACGAAGAAAAGACTGAAATACTTACCTCTAAGGGGACGTGGTTCCCTGACTGTGTGTTTCACAGCCAAGTTGATAGCTTCATTCATCACAATGCCAGCAAAAAATGCAATCTGAAATAAGTAGATTGTTCACATGCCTTTCAGTATTGAAGACCAGTTAGGACGTCAAAGATTATTTTGAGGAATCAAAGAGTTTAGTTTAGTAAGAGTCTTACAGCACTCACAACAGCATTAGGTCATATGAACGCACAAAACACAAGTTGGTTGCATTCACAACAGTTCACAGCACGGCTTCATTTTGGTCAATATTTTGATTTATTATTTCTAAAATTCACGGAAAAATTTGAAGAATCAAAGAGTAATCAAATAGAAACAAGTTAATTCTGATAAACATTAACAGCAAAAGAAACATTCCATTTTAAAAAATCAAGGTAAATGCATTTCTACTTCGACACTCACGACTCTTGTCTATTTCTCCTTTCTAAAGCAGTGTTCTTTCCCTTCACATGTGTCAGGGTTCCGTTCATCAGCCCTGATTCTAGACAACAAAAGGAGTATGAAATGTGGTATGAACCAGCATGATACCTTCGTCGCAATCTTTCTGGCACTTTTTTTTGGGTTGAAAACTTGGCCAGTGTGACATAAAACCCTGCTTGTAAACAAAACACTCACTTACCGTGTGTAAATCTCTACGGAACAGAGTGAGGGTTACGAAGCTCACAATGAGCATAAACGGAAGTAAGCTGAACCATGCCAAGATCAAACCTAAGAAATCTCCTGAAAAAGAAAACAGAAAAACAGAAAAATAAAACTTTAACATTATGAAAGTGTAACACGATTCACAACAATGCTTGCAAAATTCTTTGAATTATTTATAACCTCTTCGAATATCTTGGTCTTCGAAAAACAAAACAAAAAAATCCAAAAATTGGCGTAAACGTGAAAATAATTCTCGCCAATAACTTCATGCAGTCATGTGCCAATTTCCTCAAACTGAAAATTCTGCAGTTCACAGAACTGAGGATGGAACGGTCTTGAGAATGTCCCAAGTCAGAATTCCCAACCACTACTACTTCCATTATACATGTTTCTTGAAACAACACAGGCGTGCAAAGATCCAACACAACAACTAAATTCGACATAGACATTTAGGAAAATAGTGCTTCGAGTTTCTGCTGACAAAAAGTTTAACGAGTGCTTCCCACGACAGAAAAGAAGGCAGAATAAGATTTTACAAAAAATCCGGCACAACAGTCGGAACCCAAAAAAAAATAAAAATCCGGATACACAGGATCAACATTGAGATAATCAAGATGCTTGGAAATTTGGGGCAAAAAATCTGAATATCCCGAATACATCGGGATGAGTGGCAGGTTTGGAAAATAAACTAATTCTTTATTCTTCAGAGCCATCCCAGTCGTTCGATGGTGGACAATTCATGCTTACTAGATCTAATGTGTTAAAGAAGGATGGGGGTAATCTCACGGCAAGGGTAAACTCAAGGCACGAGACCGGCAAATATAATGTGAGCGACCACAATGTGGGCAGAGCTTCTGTGCTCAAGCAAGCCTGTGTCGCCGGGAACTGCGCACAGATGATTGATAAGTAGATTCTAGGTCTTCTGCTTCTGACATAGAGTAACAAACAAAATGTGACTGCGGTGTTATGTGTGTGGGTGTGTTGTTAAATCATTGACTCGGCTTCGGGGTAGAGAAGGGGGGAAATGATGACTGCCAGACGCATATTACTTGAGTTTTAAAGTGTATGCAAACCCCCGAAACGAAATTTTAAAGAGTAAAGCTCACGCACCACCAAAACTAAAAGGGGGTAATTTGCAGGTTTACGGGGTAATATACGCACAAATGTGTGTAAAGGGGAGCCCTAATTCATTACGTAGATCTACGTCAAGACTAGCTTATTACTGTAATAATGATCAGTTGCCGGGGGGGAAAAAGACTGACGCGTATGCGACGTTCAACACCCGGACCGATAGTGCCCCCCCCCCCCCCCTCCCTGACACGCACACACAGCCACACGTGTGCAGGCCGCCCATCCAACCCCGACACACACTAACGAGCCATCTTAAAATGCTTCTAACGGCATCTTGACAAATAAACATTTATTAGAACCGCTATAACTTTTCAGGCCGGCCTCAAATTCATCATAAGATAAAAACTCGGCTCCTGCACAATTTTTTAACGCCATTTTGCCCGAAGTGATCCCGGTCTCTACCCAGCCTGAGGCGAGTCACGAGTGAGGCAGGACAGGAAGCCGGAGTCACAAGTCACAGGAAGTCGGAAGTGATGTCATGCTGGACAAGAATTAAGAATCAGAGTTCGAATAACATTGTTAAATTCGGACTCGAGTCCGAATAGTCACTTCGTTCTAAATACACATGAATAGTAGATCTACACTGTACTATTATACTATTATCTACGAATGGTCTATAGGCCTACTATAGACTAGATCTGGAATCTAGATTGACAACCGCCGATGCAATTGCAATGTTGTCAACGCTGCTGTCAACTCGCAATCATCTCCTCAGTCAAATCAGTGCAGTGTCTTCTTGCCACTGACACTGTGTGGTGCTTTGCAACAGCCGACATGACAAAACAACTCCTTCTGTTCTACTGATTAGGGTGAAAAATGCATCAGTTCTATTCAAACTTAACACCCTTACCTTTAGGGTATTCAACATGGGTAAGTGACACCGCCTTCCAATCCTGTGGGTTGAACTCGTCAGGATCAACATTCGTTTCTGTTCCCATGTCAGCCATCTTGGATTAGTGATAAATGCCGCATGCGCGTTGCCTAACGTAAAGTCGAAATGAAAACATACACATTGGAGAGCTTCAACTGTCCAAGTTACGACCTCTTTTCGTTGCCCAGTTTCTCAATTTTTTTTACATAACTTCTTCGCACGGTTCAAAGTTTCTGCGGTTTTCCTAAACTCTTAGTAAGATTTATCCACTGATGTCCGCTAGAAAATTCATATTCTAGTGTATATTTTTTATCAATCAGTTTGCAAATAATCGTAATCATCTGCGGACAGTAGTGCCAGTAAGCCTCTATCCATGAAATATTAACCTCTCCACATCAACTACACACACAGTCGTGGTGGTCCACCTCAGACACAATAATGTCAACTCCC